TTCTAAATGCCATATCTAGCATCAACAAGGTGATATTTTCCTAGAAGTTTACAAAATTTAATTATTGCTAAATACATTCTAAGTATAAATAAGTACTATTATTCATTAGTTCTAACTATTACCTTTTGGAATTCTAAATCCTTTTGGACGTGCAAGTGCATCATGTAAAATACGAGAATCATATGTACTACTTTTCCAACCAACAAGTACATATGAAAATTTTAATCAAAAGTGATGGCAGCCAATATATTTCACATTGTCCCCCCTTTATGACTATGAAATCGATCTTGAATCTCAAGCGACACAAATGCATGAAGTTCCCACACAATTTTTAAAGTATGGGTAAAACATTGGTTTGTTTATTATTTTAGAAGGAGTTAGTTAAGGTAATCTAATGAGAAGTTTATATAATTTCAAAATAGCTCTCAACACAATCAAAGTAATGGTGAATTATCTTAATTGATCTATAATATATTGATCCAACCACTCACAACCTTACAATGTGGCCAATTAGATGCAAAAAATTATCACTTGTTTCCTAATATTCACTAATATAGTTGATTATAACAAATTGTTCCTAGTGAGAAGGTCACACAAATTAAAAAACGTAATTGGTTGCATCCTTATTTGATCAATACATTTTTGGTTACCTCCATATAAAATGTCATTAATATAACTTTCTTTTTCATAATCTTGATTGATATAAGGTTCACAGGTTATTTGGTTCCTAAATCTAGATCTTTCAACAACAATAATCTCAAAAGCTAATATTGAAGTAGCGGCACTCATAACTGATACATAGATAGAATTATTATCCATCTACACAAAAAATATTCATCTTTAAAATATATTATTCATCAAATAATATATGTTAAATTTTCAAGATGAAAGTAAACATGAAATTCAATAACTAAAATATACATCACAAAAAAATTTTGGATTCAATAAATTATTAATAATAATAATAAGTATTCACTTTCAATTTTTCACTTGCTCACAAAACCAAGTAAAATTAGTTCATAATTGCTAAAAATTATAGTTCCAAACAATACTATAAGTAGGGTTCACGAATCATATTCATGATTACGATGATTCAAATAAAACAACTTAGATTCAAAAAAGATTTAATAAGTTACAATCTCAAAACTGCATATTTCTTATATCACTCATTTAGCATTCTGTAGACTTATCTTCTTTGCATATATATATATATATATATTCCTTATTAACAGTTGGTGATTATAATAAATTATAAAATCTAAAATGATGCGAATAACTTGTAAATTTCACAATTATAAAGAAAAAGAGTGCTAATATTCTAACAAACTTGCATTTATCAAATTGAAAATTTTGAAACTAGAGAATAAGATCTGCAGATGCACGCCAACCCAATGGCCTTTTAACTGTTGCTTAGATGTTTTGTTAGGCGTTGTTTAAGCTCGTTTCTTTGACTTTTGTAACATTGAGTCTTGTCAAAGCACAAGAAATTCCACATTTCCCAATTAAATGAAAAGCTATTTGTAATTATTATATATGCTCTTGTCATTAACAATAAATTATGGTACAGTGAAAATTTTTTTAAATTTTCATTATTGATTCAGTCATATTTCGTTTAATCCAATCACTAACTTTATTATTTTTATTGTTAAAATTATTATCGTGATTATGGATTTAATCATGTATGTATTGACTACATAATGTTGATTTTATTGACATGATACTTTAAATAAATAAAATTAATTATTAAATTATACAAATAATTTTTGTATTCATACAAATTTTAAAATTTATCCCTTTAAAATAATTTTATAAAACTCGCGTTCTCATACAAGTTAAATTTAGTCCAATTATTAATAAAACTATATTTTTTACTTTTTCTAAAATAAAATTTTATTTTCTTATAAATTCAATATTTTGAATTTTTAAAAACATTTTCATATTTTAAAATATTAAATTTAATATTTTTAAATAATATAATTTTTAAAACATCATTTTTAAAAAAATTTTTAAATCAAAATTTGTTTTTTAAAAAATTCAATATTTCTAATTTTTTCAAAATTTTATAAAATTTTTAAAAATATTAATTCTAGTTTTTCAATATTTTAATTCTTTAAATCAAATTAATTTTTAGTTTTTGAAATTTTTATATTTTATTTAATTACAATATATAATTTTTTGAATTTTTATAAAATTTTCTATATATTTTAAAAGTTTTATTTTTTTAGAAATTTTCTATATTTTTTAATATTTAAATGAAAATTTAATAAATAAATTGTCAAAAAGATACAGATCCATAGAATTTGTTTTGTTTTGGAATACTTGAGATGCAAGAAGATAAAAATTTAGGATAAAACAAAGTAATATCAAAGCATGAAGAACTTTTTAGTTGAATTTATTCTTTATTTGATTTCCTAAAAAACATGTAGAAAATTTTTAAAATTTATAAATTCTTTCCAAAACATCTAAAATTATAAAAAAACATAAAAATTAAAAAATATATAAAATTTTATAAAAAATTTAAAAGATTAAAAATAATAAAATTTAAAATTTGTTTAAATGAAATTTGAAAAAAATACAAAAACTTTCAAAAAATAAAATACCAAAAATTTTAAATTTATTATTTATTTTTTAAAAAAATTCTAGAAAATTTTTAAAAATTCAAAATATTGATTTAAAAAAATTAAAATCATTGGAATATTAAAAAAATGATTTTAAAAATTAAAATATTTTTAAAAATAAATTTAATATTTTAAAATTATGATAAATTTAAAAAAAATAGAATATTCATTTTTTTTAAATATTAAAATTTGATTTAAAAATTAAATAATAATTTTTTTTAGTAGTTAGATCAACATTATCATATTGAGCTAGGAGATTTTATAAAATTATACTAGAAACATTAAAGTTTAAATTTTATGAGTTCAAGGGTCATTTGTATAATTTATCAGTTGATTTCATCTATTTAAATTATCACATCAACAAAATCAATATTTTGTTAGCAAAGTTAACGCTACTTCATCGAATTACCGACTATGTTTATATTTTAAACTCAAAAAATTGATGAAGTTAGTGATTTGATTAAAATTATCAAATCAAAATAATATAAAAATTAAATTTATATGAATTATAGTACATAAATTAAATTTTAAATTTTTACAGTATTTAGGGATCTCTCACATAATTTGACTTTATAATTAAGGCTAGATTTAGGTGTCATCTCATCCAAAAGCCACCATTTGTTATCTAAATGAGGTAGAAGTGAGATAATATAGGCCTATTTCAATCGCACCATACCTTTAATTTTTCATTGGACTTTTTAGATTCAGTTGAAATTTATTTTTTAGAAATTTTAAATGCATCCACGTTTTTGCTATACATCTCACTTTTTTGTTTCCAAATTTTTTGTAAGTAAAATTAATAAAATATTCATCTCACAAATTTATAACTGAATTTCTAAAAAATCATAACACATCTCCGAAATGCATCTTTGAGAGTGCTGGAATTGAAATTTTATGAAAAGTTATAAAAAAAGAAATTTTGTTAAAATTATTTGTAAATAAGTGTAATGAAAAATGTTATTATTAAAAAAATCATAAAATTTAAAATTGATAAAAAAAATTACTTTTATTAGTTTTATCTTAGAGAAAAAAACTATTTTATGACATCTTAATTAAATTAAATATAAAATAGTAAACATAATTTTTTTTTATAAATTTAAAATTTATCATTTTTTATAAATATTTTTTTTATCTATTATTAAAATTTTATAATAGTTTTAATTAAAAGGAACTAATTAGAAAAGTCCATCCATCTACTTATTATGATGGATTTCTCCAATAAACGTATTAGATTTTGACAAAATTATATAATATTCAGTAATATTACTTATATTATCTCTTTATTTATAAGCATGCGATGCTAGTAAAGAAAATATTCAATTTCAATTTAATTTTAATTTTTCTAACACCCTTCCAACTGATTTTCAAATTCGTATGAAGTCGAAGACATGACAATGGTGATTTTGTAGCATTTTGATAAAATTGTGTAGTATTCACTAGTATTACTTATAGAATTTTAAAAAGTTTTACTTTTTATATATTGATCAGATTTGATAATTCTTTCATCACTTTTTATAATATCAAGAGATAAAATATTTAATTAGAACTTCATAAAATTTTATTTTTTCTTTAAAATAAAAATAGTAAAAGTAACTTTTTTTTAATTTTAAAATTTATAATTTTTCTAATTATAACTTTTTTATTACATTAATATAAAAATAATTTTTTTTGTAATTTTTCATAAATTTTCACTTTTTCACTTTTGAAAATGTATTTTCGAGAAATGTAATAACTTTTCAAAAATGAAGAATATCTGAAAACTTACAAGAAAGGTATTTAAGTAATTTTATTTAAAAAAACTTTTAAAAAAAGTGGAGTATATTTTTAAAAAAGGTATGATGTATTTAGGATTCCCCTTTATTTTTCCATCACTGCAGAACTTTTCAATTTTATCCATAATTTTTGTTGTTTTTTTACCTTTCAACATATGGTGTATGGACAAAAATGTCCATTCGACTTAGTTTTCGCTTTTCTATTTTTTTCATTTTACTTTTTAATATAATAAATAAATTTTAATATAATAAATAAATATCTTCATAATTAAATAATTAATTAAAATAAATAATTACATAAACAATAAAAAAAATACACATGTAAATTCGTATTTTATTCTAATTTTAATCTAATTTACTTAATCATTAATTTTTTTTATTATAATTTATCTCATAGGCATTATTACTTTTGTATGCAAATATATATCCCATCTAATTTTAATTTTATTATTATAATAATTAATCCCATCATTATAGTGGTTAATATCATATTCACCGTCATTTTCAATTTAATTGGCTATCCAAATGGAACTTAAGATACTAAAGAAAACTAAAAATGATTTTTTTTATTTTTAATTTTTAAATGAGACATTATTTTGAAATAATTAAAAGTGTACAAATAAGACCTATGAATAGGGGAAAGAGGGAATTAGTCTGGGAGGGTTCATGGCATGGGTCTTTGTACGAGGCCTTTGTATGTGGATCGGCTTGAATCTAGAATTTAGACAGCCTTGGACATTTATTTGCCTGTTGGCAAGGGGTCGCGTGGGGGATTAGGCCTAGTTGGAAAATAGAAAAAGATTTAGAGGTGAGGGAAGCAGAGGCGAAGGAGATGGCAGGAGGAATAGGAGCATTTTGGGGAACAAGAGTGATGGAGATAGTGAAGAAGCACGACTCCGGAGGCCTCCTTTGGAAGAGAATTAAGCTCACTTCTACCCGCAAAGCCAACGCCAAGAAGCGTCTCCATCGCGTTTGGCAGGTCCTGAAACTCTTTATTTTCTCTGCTTTTTCTTGTTTTCATATAATAATACTGTGCGGCTTTTAAGATTTTACCCCCGATGGCTTGTTTACACATTTTCTTATCATGTCAATCTTAAGCTTTTTTATACCAAATCCTTTCTTCTTCCTGGGTTTCTGGCCTTGGTAATTGATGATTTTCTTTTTAATGAATTGATTCAGTTAGTTGTTGGGAAGTAGTTAGAATTCAATGGAAAATATAAAACTGTAGAGGAAGGTTGTCATCTACATATAGCAATGTTTAAGTTAACATTTGACAGTTTATTACATTTAGAGCTATGTATATTTGGGCTCATACTCTGATTTTAGTTGCGAATTTTGTGTCCACAGTACATGCTCAAGACAGCATAATGAGTTTAATTTCATTTGGTATAAAGTCTTGTTGATCTAGATATCCTCTTAAGGCTGTTCACTGTTCAGGAGTGATGTTTTCCTCTTTGGTTTTGTATATGTCTCCCTTTTCTGTAGCTCATACAAAATGGTTCTTCCACCTCTTGGCCAATTGCATGGGGATATGGATTTGGAACAAGTTTTGAGAGTTGAAGTTCATTTTGTGTTGTTCTTAAGGGCTCATAGAGGTAGGTTGGCATTAGATGTGTCTGATCAGTGAACTTGAGTTGAGTGGCTTAGAACTGAGCACTCAGAAAGGGCTAGTAAATCTTAAGTCCTGAAGAAGGGATGATATGGGATTCAGGTATCCCTGGGACATTTTTACAGTATATCTAATAATTCGGTTGCTCCATTGACTGCACTGATTCTACGTGAACATAATCTAGTTTAAATTTCTCACATTAGGTTTTCTACTCACCATTAATTTGTTGACATGCTGGTACTCATTAAGAGAATCAGCATCTATTGTCTCTGGGCCTTTCATCTATCTGCTAGGATCCAAACACTCCTTGAGTTTTTACCTTCTGCAAAAAAGAAACGATTTAATTACAACCATCCAATATTCTGAGAAAATGTTATTTTACCTGTAATATTCTGAGAAAATGTTTTTTTGGTAAATGTAAGTACTTGACCTTTTTCAGTGGCCTTTAGATCAGTGGCCTTTAGATGGTGGATTCCAATCCTATTTTATGCTCGTTATCTGTGAATTAAACTTATGATTTCAACCAATATATGAAAGAAACCTAACATAGCTTTTATTTAGTAGTTCAGAGATAAGATTTACTGCTTAGCCTGCCTGTCACCAGTTTTGCTTCCCTTAAGGCCCATTCCTCCAACTGAAGAGCCACAAGTTTATAACTATTTTAAGAAAGAAATCAGCCTAGGATCTTCTGTTTTAATGTTTGCCTTGCATTCAGTAACAGTCCCTCATGACCATTTTTCAAGGGGCTGATGATAATCCAATCATGATACCTTTAGCTTTCATCCATCTGCATGCTGCAAAACTCTGAAATTTTTAGGTTAATGTAATTGCCCCTTTTGTTTACCATTTTATTACTCTATATACCAATGAATTTGCAGAGTCTTGATCCCATAATGTGGGACTCCCAGATCATTATATTTTTTGCTTAATCATTTTAGATATAATAATCATTCAAAATTTATATATATATATATATATATTTGAGATATTGAAAATGTTTATTTCTTTCAGAATGAAGCCGTTTTGAGGGCCTGTGCTGAACCACCTCCTTCAATAACAACTGATGTTGTAGCTGGTGGTGCTGGTGAGAAAGATGGGGAATGGCCAACTTAATGGGCTAATTGCGGAAGAGATTACATGAGCCTCAAAGGAGGATTTTGGTGATTCTCGTCTTCATGGTGCAAAATTTTTACAGTTTGAGATTTGAATTTAGTTGTATGCCATCAGTGACCAGTATTTTTATTCTTGTTTAAGACCATTACTGTATCATGTATGAGCATATGTAGTATGCAGCTTGTTGGTCATTGGACATAGGCAATACTAATCTCATATCCCTAGCAAATTTCGTGTGAGCACTAGCTTGTCAATGAAATATTCTAAAGTTGCTTGCTAACGATGTGAATCTTTTAACTTTACCATGACGACTTGACGAAATATGGTTTTTCTAACCCTTTACTTTCCATTTGTTTGTTCTTAGATGATCACATCAGTGATAATCGTCAATAAACTTTACTAGTGTAAATCAAGTTTTTGAGATGGTAGAAAGAGTTGGCTTAAAAGTTCACATTCTTAAAATTCAGCTGCAGCTGGTTTGCTTGTTTCGGCAATTGACAGGGACGTTCATAATAAAATTGATGATGTACACTGTGCAGATTTTTACATCCATGGCGAAACAGCATATCATTGTTTAAAGGCTTGATGGAATCTTATGATTTTTCCTCAAGAACCTTTCCCTTTCGAATACAAAGATAACATTGAATCTTGTTGTAAGACGATGTGGTCCATTTTGGTACTGAAGAAGGGGGGTGGAAGTTGGATTGAAATGTGTACTCAAAACCACCTATAGAAAAGGTTGGGAAACCCCTCCTATTTGTCTTTCTAAAGGTCCGAGGACTGATTTTGACATTTGAAAAATAGAATAGACTTACCAATTCTTCCTTTTATACGTCTCTATACCTCCTAGAATTTTAAGAGATCAGCCAGTAATTGAGTTTTCATATTTTTCCACTCAACAATCACATGATAATCTTCACACATTTCTTTCTTTACCAATATTTTGCTCATAATATCATCTGCCATGTAATTTTTGTTGGTTAACATAGTTGGCATGTTAATACGTTTTTAGGAAGTTGAAAGATGTCCCTTTACATATTGCTCTTCAAAAAGTTTCTTGAGCTTCGAAACTCTTACGACCATCATGGAGGTTGTAGGTATGCCATTGGCCTCTCTCTCTCTCTCTCTCTCTCTCTCTCTCTCTCTCTCTCTTTTAAAAAAAGAAAAGAGCTCAGCATTTAAATGCATGGTGGAACCTCTTGGATATGGTCAATAGCCTGAAATTATCATAGGACTGTTCTCAGCTGTCAAGACATTTCATTTCTCAAGTATAATAACTAGGCAATAATTTCGAAAAATGTTTCTTTGATTAGATTAGATTCATATTTTCATGATAACACTATTTTTTGAATGTGGTTAAAATATTGAAGATGTCATTGTTGCAGGTATACCAAGCAACCCTTTAAAACTTCGATCTATCCAAACATACAGCGCAAAAAAGTGGTTGGTTCTTTTGGAACCGGTCAACATACATAATTGATAGCACATTCCCCGTCTGCAAGTTGTTTGCTTTTTAAAATGTCAAATTTACCCACATTCGGCCTTTGTATATTTCTCGGATAGTTAAGTGAATGACCCAATCAGGTGAAGGCTACAAACTTTTGGTGCTGTTCATTGTGTCGTGTGGTGTGGTCCACCACGAGGGGTTACCCACATGATTGGCAATTTTGAAGCCCATCTCACCAATCCCCCAAACCCAATCCAAATTTTCTTCTCCCTCTCCCTTTTTTCTTGAAAATGAAATTTATACATATACAAAAGTGACGTGAAGAACTCCAACAGCCCGGGCTGATTCTAAAACCATTGTCACAAGAAACTCTGGTCGGCATATATGTGTTTTTTTGCGTCATCCATTATTTTAAAACTTGAAATTTTGTTTTTGCCCTTCCTGTTACGGCATAACAAATTACTCAATTATGGACGATATTAGCATGTTAATCAAGGTATAATCTATGCCGTCCAGAGTCTGTCTGGCGCCCATTTGGCAATCATATAAAGCTCCATGGCCCACTCTTTAACCTCTCAGGTTTATGATATCACATCCTTTGTGTACAGTGACAACCCTCCTTATGTAAGTAAATATTATTTTTATTTTTGTTTCTAACATTTGCCAGTATAAAATACTAAATCAACAAGTCATGGATGATTATCATAATTGATAACTTGTATTTTCGGCTTAGATTTATGGTTTAATTATCGGGAGTGAGTCAGCAATAAAAGGACACATGCTCCTTTGCATGCAAGACACGTGTACTATGTATAACAATAAATGTAACTCCTCTCCATTATTTGAAAAGTATAATACCAAGGGAACATTGAATGCTATTTTGCATATTATTGAAGTCAAAATTGCAGGGTAGGTGGACAATAGCGGGAGAATCTTACTGTTAGATACCTTTGCTACCTGTTGAGCAACAAAATTTCAAATGCGAGAATAATTTATATTGGATAGAAGTTAGAGGAGGGTCTACATTTCTTTATGTACAAGGAATGCTTAATAAGTCGTGATCTGATGGATTATTAACTTCTTATAATTGTGTGTGTGTGTGTGTTTTTTTAATTAAGAGCCTAATCTTTGCAAGATTTTCCAAGAAATCTTATGCTTGACAACTAAAAAGTCGTAAGATCGATTTCCAGGACTAGAGGGACAGTTGGATTGGACCCCAAGCTCATTGTCAAACTCCACCATCCTAGCTGAAGTCCCTATAACTTTTTAACTTAGTCTTCCTATCTCACCAACTAGTCTTGTAAATTCAAATTTTAGTTAACCCTGTTTCCCTACAACCTTTGACCTACTCTTTCCTGTTTCTTGTATTGTTTTGTGAGTACTGAAAAAAAGAAAAGTGTGGGACGGTTGTTTTAAGTGCTGAAAAAATTATGCCCAGAATGTCTGTTTATTGGTACAGAGTTTGCTCATTTTTCAATGATATGCTAGAATGAAGCGTACAGGGAGGTATGAAGTTGGTGCCTGCTCAGAATTTTTTGGAGATTCGATCCATTGTGAAATGGTGGGTGTCAAAGGTAATTGGGTTCTTTTCAAGTGATTACAACTTTCCGGCCAGGGAGTAGTGAGGAACCTCGTGCAAATGCTGATTTGCAAAGATCTTATGCTTATTCTTGTGCTCCCCAAAAAGCCCAAAGTTCATAAATGCATTGAGAGAGATGTAATACTTTAATATATCCCCTCTTTTTTCCTCTTCATTTTCCCTCTTTTCACTTTCCTTTTCTGCGCCTCTTGTATTTTCGCCTCTTAAAAATCATTTGCCTTTTGTCTAAAGAAGTTGCTCTGCATGTTCATCTGCAAAGCAACGTTTAACTTGAACAATAAAATGTTCTGTGAAAATATTTGTAAAATGCCAACAAGAGGGCAGTATCACTAACTTTAGAAATTTGGAGATTCATTACAAGACGCACCATGAGAGTTTGCTCTTCATATAATAGTTATTGCCGAATTCTATCTTCCTTCTTCTTTGTGCTGATATCTCTTTGTGCTGCGTGATAATCACAGACAGAGACCAAAGACTTAAATTACCAAACACGAGATTGTTTTTTCTAAGAAGGTTATTCTGATCGGCTAATCAGAACCCCAACTACTAGTACAGGCACCAAAGGAAAAGTGTGAAATGTGTTTTTAAGGTTTTCTTCTAAAATAAGGGAAACTATTGCAACTACTGCTTTCTTCGTGGTCATCTGTGTCATTATTGGAAACTTGTGTGATCCCACTGGTGCCAGAGGACGAGGAAGAAGAGGCAAGATTTAAGTCAGTCCTCTCCTTGGTCAGGAAATCATAGAAGACAGGCCTGGTCGTCCCTCGTTTACGACTAACGTTTTCATTGCAAGATTGCATGCTGTCGTCATCGTTTTTAGTAGCACTGCGTTTCTTCAAAAATATGCGGCACAGCACCCAATTTTCCATCGCCACCACATGGCTCTGCACTAGTTGCAACACAAATCATTAATTTGCTTGACCATAACTAAAGTAACAATGTAATGCCAATTATTATTAACTACGAGTTGAAAAAAACATGAAGCCAGACTCCGGGGTTTTAGAAATGTGATTGGGAGGAGATGTTTGAATTGTGAAACGAAGGTCCGGTCTCAATAACTACAAGTAGTAACATAAAATAAAGCAATATAAATGAGGAAGACCAAAAATTGACCTGAGTTTGGTTCTTCTTATGTGAAGCATTGTAGGCTGCTGTCTCAGCGCAAACAAGGCGATATTCATGCATGATCCAATCGGTCCTAGATCCCTGTGGTGGCTTTCCTCTATAAAAAACTAGAGTTTTCTTCATACCCACAACTTGGTTGCTCCTAGAATTTACAATTTGTTTGTCAATTCCAGTTGCTTTCCAATAACCTGAAATTGTGGCTCTGTTGGATCTATTCCCATTAGGATACTTGGCTTCTCTAGAGCTGAAAAAGTACTTCTCTTGCTCCAAATCACCTGATAATATACACAACAAAGACCCAACGTATCAGGCCATCTAATTTTCTCCTAAATTTTGTCCTAAAGGCTTAAAAATGTTAAAAGCTCAAAGAGCTGTTACGTTTAGATATATGTCAGCACGCTAGTTCCAAAATTGATACAAGAAGTTAGCTCTAGCTATAGAACAAAGTAATTTGGTTGTAAATGACAATATACTTGAAGCTGTTCTTTAAGTGTTTAATTAAAGAAACCAAAATTTATGGCTGAGCTCTCGTGTGCTAATGTTTGAAGTAACCAACCTGGCAATTCCCAAGGATCAGCTTTGCAAACATCAACTTCAGGAATGATAGAAGCAGGCAAAGGCCAAGCTAGCACCTTTCGTCTCAAGTACTGAACCACTAACTCTTCATCTGTAGGGTGGAACCGGAATCCAGGAGGCAATCTGAGCGTACCATTCTTTACAAAATTAAGCTTCTCCATCTTCAAAAGAGGCACCCAACTAAAACAAAAGGCAGCTGAAAACCAAGAAGAAACACTCGGTTCAAAACAAAACGAAAAAGAGGGTCTTCAAACACCCAATTGAGCCTACAATTCAAGCATCCCACTTTGCCCTATTATACTCCCTCAAAGTAATAGAGAATATCAACAAGGGGAACAAGAACAAGAACAAGAACAAGAAAAGAAATGAAAAGAAAAGAAAAGGAGAAAGAATTCAGGATATAAAAGAAAAGGTAAAGTTGCAATTGTTATATGAGAGAGAGAGAGAGGGAAGGTGGGTATTTGAGACGGAAAGTGTGGCTTCTTTATAGTAACGGGGGTGTTGAAGTTAAAGGGGAATCTTTAAGAGGTGAATATAGTAAGGACGACCCATTTGGCGTAAACTAGACTCAAGCTCTTCCCTAAGCTTTCTCCTCTCTGTTATTTTGACGCTATTTTAACACGTTTAAACAAGTTAAATTAGCTTTGTTCGAAAAGGTTAAAGTTTTTAATCTAAACGGAACCGAATGCGTCTAAACTTTAAGCCTAGTTCTGTTCGACTTCGACGCAATGTGTATGGGAATAACCGTAGCTGTTAGACTCCCTTTCAGCTCTTTTCCTTCCTTCCACACAATTTTTTTTTTTTTTTATAAAATACTCTCGTCATCATATCCTTCTTCTGTTCACCTGCCTGGATTGTTGCCTAATTACCATATTACCTCTTTCATCGAGAAAATTTTGGACGGTGGTTGGTCAGGATATATCGGATGGGCCTTTTGGTAAATCTATGTAACTCCTGAGTTCTCGTCTGACTTGCACTCACTGGGATTAAAAAAGGTATCAGCCTCGTGATGATGAAGTCACCTTATGTCATATGGTTACAGCTGGAGCTCACAAGTGCCTTTAATGGTGTTTTTATAAAAGTGCCCACGTACCCATCACAAACCCCTTTAGGCGAATCGTTGGGGGATGCAGGTCCCCAACACTTCAATGAAATGTCACTAGTTCCATTGGATTCGCCCTTTGTCCCAACTTTGCTATCCTTAGCTTCTGGGGCTAACAGCGACGAGGAAAATTTTTTTTTTTAAGTATAATGTTCCATTTAATTTGAATCAATTTTTTATTTAATTTTATTTAAATTTAGATATTAAATATTTTTATTAAGTTCAAATCAAAATTTAAATTAAAAATAAATAAATTAAATCAAATTATATATTTTTATTATTTTTATATAGATTTTAACTTTTTATAAAATAAAATAGTTATTTGATATTTAATTATATTAAAAATTAGTTAACTACCCGTGCGATGCACGGATTATTTTTATTTTATTTAAATTTAAATAAAAATTTAAATTAATATTATTAAATTATTAATATATTTAATATATATAAAATATAAATAATATAATTAAAGTATCAAATCATAACAAAAATAAAAATTTTAATTAACAAATTAATAAACTTTAAAATATATGATAAATAATATTAGAGAAAGAAAAAACATCTGGAATATATTGTAAAAAATATTATTAATTATGCCAACAAAATATTAAAATAGAAACTAAAAGTCTTATCACTTCAAATGTATTTTATTTAATTTATATCATCTTCAGCTTTTTTTATCATTTTTGTACACCTACAAATTTATATAATTTTAAGATAAGTTTTATTTATTTTAAAAAAATAATTTTAAATATTTAAATAATATACGTAATAATTTATTCCTGTTTACATTTTTTTTGTAAGAGTTTCAGTAATATCATAATTTTCAATATCTATATAGCTTTACCAATCTTTGTTCATTTGAATTGTTTTGAAGTTGACATCTGATATAGAATTATATTTTTATAAAAACTGAAATAAAATAGTTTTAAATTTTAAATAATAATATTAAATTATAAACAATTATTAAAGAAAATTATTGGCAAAAAGTTTTAATGAAATGTATTAAACTATTTACCTTTTGTATTTTTTTTAAGTAAATACTGACTTTCCTCTATATAAAGTATCTCATGAACATGAGTAACAGTCAATCTTGAACTTTCATAAAAAAAATTGTAATCATTGAGTTCTAATTGTTTATAAAAAAGGTTGAACTTTCATAAAGCACAAAAGATCACATGATAAGAACTTCTTTTATAGTATTATTTATAAAAGATTTATTCATGAATAAAAATAAGATAAAAGGAAAACTTAATTCTTAGGAATATTAGTTAAATATAAATGATAAAAAGTTATTTGCTTATAAATTAATTACTAATTTCACTATAATTTGAATCTGACCCAAACTCAATGTAAGTCAACTAAAAAATAGTGCTCTATTTTTAAATTAAATAACTTTATATGCTTTATTTTTAAATTAATTTTTTATTTTTAATATACTTTAAAAGATATATGTTATATTGTCACTCCCTAATAAAACCTAAATGAAATGAGATAATTTTCCTGTCATTAAGTAGTAGATCATATTTTTTAATTTGTCAAAATTGTAATCATATTAATTTGTCGAGCTCATAGTAAACATATTTTAATTATAAAATAATTCATTTGCAGATCCAAAATTTATCTCAATTAATTCATACATTTAATTTTAAAAAATTACATTTAATAAATTTAACATTCAAATTATAATACCCCTAATTTTTTTCTATCTCCAATCTATAAGTTCCTTTATTAAAAAAAAAACAATTTCTTTGCATTCATAGACATGGTTCTGACCTCGATGTGTTACCTTACATGGACTGAAGGACAAAGCCAAGCTTGGTTAGTACCAATGAGCTCATTTTTTTGGGCCCAGAAAGAATACTCTTATGGAAAGTTCAAGAATGGGAAAGGAAAATGAAAGAAAGCATCAGAAGCAAATGCAAATATTAGAAAAAGAATTAGAAGCGACGGAGAAGGCAGTGGCGGTGAGGATAATAACAGTGGATTATCCTTTTTCTTAGAAAAAGCTTTTGTATCAAGAGGGGTAGATTCAACAGAATCTTATTTTTCACTTGCTATTGATAGAGATCCCTTTACTTTTTGCAGTGTATATAATGATCCTAAACCTAAAAGAATGATGTTTTCTCTAAGAGAAGGAAGCCCACTTGGATAAGTTATAGTATTCAAAGGTGAATACCATGCCCTATTTTTTTGCTTTACCAAGTTCACATCGGTGTAGAAAGAGGCAAGCCGAACATTTTTGTGACTGAGATAATCAAATTCCTGAAATGCCCAAAAATGTGCATAAATCATATTTTTATATCTGTACTCATTATGTGCTGCATAATCTAGCTTAGGAGCATTAGATACATCAATGCATGTAAAAAAGTCACTTGATGAACATCGATGAACTCTTCTTCACGTAGGAGTTTTAGGCTAATTAAGGATATTATCAAGCCAAGAAGGTTACTCCTCTATCAAAAGGCTTTCAAATGAAGTGCACGGGTGGTGTGGTTTCCCACTCTAGGCTTTTGAGCTACTTTTGATCCAATTACATTGTTGGGACATAATCAATACATGTTAGAGAGATTGTAGGAAATGGACTTTTCGGAGGAAGTAAAGCATGCTTTCCAGAGAACATCAAATTTCTTATGTTTGTTGACCCCTTGGAATTTGCCATGGCCAAGAACAAACTGTTCTTGCAAAGAGCATAGGAGAGACAGATCATGAAATAGATCAATTATGATAAAAATAAAGGCAAACACAAAAGTCCCAAAGAAAAAGTTGTAGTTACATTTTCGATTCACAAACCAGAAGATGATAAAACCTCATTCAACAGAGAAAATTAGAAAAACAATAAATTGTATCATGCACCAAACCTATTGTTATATACTAGTATCATGCATTTGACAGTGATAAATTATTTTAAAATTGATTTTAAATTATGATAAAGTGATAAACAGATAAGATAATTTTATTAGAATTGAAATTAACTTTTAATTAAGATTTTAAATTTTAGATAATTTAATAATTTTTAAAATACCTTTTTTATGAATAATTTAAAATTAACAAATATCTTATATGTCATCATAATAAAAAGTTTTATGATATATCTTATGTGTCAAAAAAAGAAATTATCCACATAAGCATCAACGTCAGCAATTATTATCTGGTAACTATGTCTGTTATAATATAATATATATATATGACTATATTAAAATAATATAAAAATAAAATAAAATTTAAAAAATAATAAACCAAATGAAATCCAATGAACAAATTTTGATTAAGATCAATCGTTTTTAAAAAAATTAATTCAAATTTGGATGAAATTTTAAAAATTAATAATACAATACATTATTCTAAAAATTAAAACAAAATCCAATTCTAATGGTTATTGCCCTAACTACTACTTATTACAATGCTAAATTTTATTCCAATGGAGACTTGAATTCACTTTGAATTTTGAAGTTATTTTGATGGTGAGTTGATAAATGTGTGTTTAGCCTAGTTTATAAAAAAGTTTATCAATTGTAAAAGTAAAACTCTCAAAATTTTAAAAATTTTAGTCTATGCATAAAAAAAATTTTAGTTTATGCATAAAGTAAATTTGAGTTTTTAAACAAAGTTATAAATTAAAGATTTTTTAACAAGTGCAAATTTTAATAACAAATATTAAAATTTTTTTTTTTTACATTTTCACTTTATTCTTTAATAATTTATAAAATTATAATGCAAATTACATTGTTTCACATTTTTTTTTATTTTGACCATTTTCTATTAAATTCATTTATTTTTTTTATTATAATTAATAAAAATATCTCTTTATTTTATTTATTTTTATCTAAAAATTTGTTATTTAATTTAATAAAGCTAACAATTTTATTTTTTATTTAATAAAAATATATAAAAATAATCTTAAATAGTGTTTTCAACACTATATATGACTCATGCATTAAATTTGCTAAACACTATTTAAAAATTTTTTTATAGTAATTTTAAAGCAATTCTATTTCACTAGATTTTTTATAAAAATTTCAACCGAATCAAATAAACTCTGAATGATTATTCTTTTTCTTGCTTGCATCGTACTGGGAATTTGCAAGCATTAGCTCATATGCCAGGAAAAATTACATTTCCAAACAGATGGATTAAACTTTTCAACAATATCAATAAGTTGTTTTATGATAAAACAATAAAAATATTGGAATTCATTTTTGAATTTCTCAAGAAAACATAGCTAATTGGTGGAACATTACAAACGTAATTTACATTTTACATGCCAAAGCTCAAAGTCAAATGTTAAGTTTATTTTAGATAACATGAGAAATGCTTTCTAGTTTTAGAAGAAATAGACGTGCATGTACTTTGTTCTTTATTATTTTTATATCATTTGTGAGTAATTTAATTGTTTGACTGTTCATTATTTTTA